GAGAGGGAAGCCCGAGTCTTTACGCTCTGGCTCAACTCTTTGGATGTCGAGCCGGGAGTTTACAACTTGTTTGAAGACCTCAAGGACGGTACTATCCTCCTACAAGGCTTTGACAAGGTCATTCCCGGCTCTGTCATCTGGCGCCGAGTCTCCAAGCCTCGCGAGGGCCAAGAACTGTCCCGCTTCAAGGCTGTCGAAAACACAAACTACGCTGTCGATCTCGCCTCTGCCAACGGCATGCACATGGTCGGTATTCAGGGTTCCGACATTGTCGACGGTACTCGTACTTTGGTGCTTGGTCTGGTCTGGCAGTTGATGAGGTTGAGCATCAACCAGACTTTGGCGAGCATCTCAAAGAACGGCAAGGGAGTGACCGATCAGGATATCATCAAGTGGGCGAATGAGACTGTCAAGAGTAGCGGCAAGAGCAGTGCCATGAGAAGCTTCAAGGACCCTAGTCTTTCGACCGCTGTCTTCTTTTTGGATCTGTTGAACGGTGTGAGGCCTGGTATTGTGGACTACAGTCTAGTCACACCGGGCACGAATGAGGAAGAAAAGAGGATGAACGGTGAGATCAAAAGACATGTTTGGGTGCCGAGTGCTGATCATATCGCAGCCAAGTTGGCCATCTCTATTGCGCGAAAGTTGGGTGCTTTGATCTTTTTGGTTCCCGAAGGCAAGTCCACCGGTAGCTCTCCAGGCGACACAGCTGACAGTATCGTTCCAGACATTGTCGACGTTCGCCCACGACTGATCCTTACTTTCGTCGGCGCCCTCTGGAGCGCTTCTTTGCAGTAGGCCTGGGAAGAGGAAAGCGGGGATCAAGTATAACCATACGGGCTGTTTGATTGATTGTTCTTTCTATGCAAAATGATATATGACAACAAGATGCGCACAAGGCATGATGATGCATACTTGTCAACTTTGTACTTCAACCCCATGATATATTTCCTTCTCTTCTTCTTGTTACATGTTACTTCTGACTTTATCATTGCTTTCTTTATTTTCCTGCAATACAATGCTTACACAAACTGAATTTAGTTCAATACCCTTCAGTTCAAATATCGTACACAACTCGACCACCGACAAAGGAGTACTTGTAGTTGGACTGGTACCAATTTCGGAAAGTTTTGCGGCCGGCAATCTGAGGGATGGTCGCATATGACCCACCAATCTGCGCGCTCCTGGTCAGCCCCACTCCGATAATAAGAAAACTGCCAGACTCACCACAACAAAGTGCTTGCCGTCAAAAAAGTCGGAAGAGTAGCCGGGATAAAGCTCAGAGGTGACAAAGCCCTCCAGCCCTTGGAAAGGCGTGTCGGTCCATTCCCAAACTCCGCCGTTGTGGCCGTGGATGACGTTTCCGGCATTGTCAGTGACTGTGTTGGTAGGGCTGAGGACTTGTCAGTGCGGGAACCAAAGGAGACGATATCAAAACTTACGGGACAGGGTGCCAGTTCTGAGCGCCGATGTTGTTGACCGTGCCAGCCACTCTGGGCCCCTCTTCACTCTCCCAGAGCCGCCTCAACTCCCCCTCAGTGGGCAGCCTACCTCCTTTATACTTTGCAAAAGCCTCCAGCTCGAGCTTGCTGCCCATCATCGGCCAGTCGCCTCCGACCTCGAAAGAAACGGGGCCGTAGAACGACTTGATGTGCCACTCGGGCGATGCACCTTGTTCGCTGACGTTGGTCCACATAGCGGGCGCATTCTCGTCACTGAGACCATCGAGGGCGCCAGTAGCTGTGAGGAAAGCGAGATAGTCATTGTTGGTCACTGGCAATGAGTCGGCTTTGAAGGCCTTGACATGCTGAATCACGTGAGGATGCTCATTGTCCCAACCAAACTCGTGGTTCTCCCAGCCGTCGGTGGTGGGATATTTGGCATCGTCCGCCTCGGCATCATCATGGCCCATCACCACGTCCCCAGCGGAGATGCTGAGTATCTTGTTCTCCGCCTTCTCGCTCTTCCATTGCTTTGCCAAAATTTCCCATTCTGGGGCCTTGACAGCTGTCGGTGCGCGGGTGATGGGGCTCTGAGCGAGCATGTAGAGCAAGGTCTCGGCGTGCATGGCCTCGTGCTCAAAGCCCATGAAGAGCACCCGACCTTCATGCCGAGACAGAGCTCGTTTGCCAGTAGCGTAATCGGTGTAGATGCTCAGGAGCCGTTGGCGGACGCGGTCTCGGAAACCAAGGATCTCGGCAAGAGCGGGCCAGTCTTCTTCCGACATGGGGACTTCAGAGTGATCCTACTCGAGTCAGCAGTAGGTCAATCAATGTTGACGATAGGCGCTTACGTGGCATTGCGTGGGGTCATCGACATCAGGGTCGATGCCTCGCTCAAAAATTGTTTTGAAGTACTCGGGCTCGGTGTGTTTACCCTTGGTCATCCGAGTCAGCTGAATGTCCAAGAAGGTCGGACTGGGTAGGGTCAGCAGATGGCCCATAGTCTGCGGTGGTTCTTACATGTGGCCCAAGTAGAAGAGACAGATGTGCCTCAAGTCAATAGGTTTCTTGTGCAAAAGCTCCTTGGGAATCATCTGCAACGTGATACTTGAATGCCGTCAGCCACATCTCCATAACCTCGCATGAATGACCCACTGATCCCATAGTCCCCAAAGCCCAATCCACTCTTCCCACTTGGGAATCCCCTTAACCTTTTCCAAACATCCGCCACTCACACTATCATGCATGCTGAGTGCCGACATTTTGTCTTGAGCGATGTCGTTTGTGGGTGGAGCGATGAACCTGACGGAAGGACGTTCAAGGAGGTAGAGGTGGTAGTCGCTGGAGGGAGCTTTCCAGGAGTTGATGACGCGAAGATCGGCTTGAGTGAAGAGGTCCATCGCCTCTTTATGCGAATACTGGGGGATAGTGTGAGCATCGAGTCATCATCGAGTAATACGGATCTGGAAGCAGCATTCCCGAACAGAATCAGACATGAAAGGAGCCTGGCGATGGAATGACAGATAGACGAAACACGGACCACTCACCTTGTAAGACCATTCAATGTTCAAGAGTTCGCCCTTTTCCAACGTAATGTCCTCATTGTAGGTCCCCAGATGGATCGTTTGGCGTTCTTTTGATCGATAATACGCCTCGTGTCGACCTGGAAACAAAGGTCAGTCCAAGTCCATGCTTCTGCAAGATTAAAGCCTACCTAATTTCTCATTGTATCGTCCCACGAACTCGACATTACCTTTGATACCGAGCTCTTGCTTGACTATATCCCAGCCGTGCTCTTCGAATCGCCTAGTATGGCCGGACGGATCATTGTAAGCCACTCTGACCTTTTCGTTGCCCTCAGGGCCTGGCGCAGGCCTGCCATCTAGACCCAGGAGAAGGGTGTCTCCAGGTCGAAGAGGAAGCGACTTGAGGAAAGGTGCTGCCGAGGGACGATCAAAGTTGCCCAAGGACGACCCGAGGAAGACATAGTGCAAAGGCCTGATGCTTTCTGAAGGTGTGTTTTTGCCGCCGCCGGAGGAGGCTTCCCCCTCGCGGACTTGCTGCTGGGTCTGGGCGTTGCCCATGTAAATCTTGAAACGCTCTTCAGCAGACTCGGAAGATGTGCTGTGAGCGGAGGAGGAGCGTTTATGGCTGATGCTGTCGTCGTCAAGAGGGGGAAGGCAAGAGGTGCCTTCTCGAGGGGTCATGATGTGTGACGACAGAGGACTGGCAGTGGGGCTTTCTGTAACAGTCTCTCTAGCAGGGATCGCCTGAGGAGCAGTCCCCTCAAAGAGGCCAGTACCGCCCGCGAGATTGTCTCGCAACTCTGCAAGTCTACCCTCTCGGATATACTGCAGGCCAGCCTCATAGTCGCCATGAAGACCGACACAGGCGACTTTACCGTCAATCTTGTCGCCGATGGCGTCGTTCATCTCTTTGAGGACCCGATCGAGCTCGGGGTAAGACAGATCGAGTGGGTGGTATGTGATGGGTGCGGGTATGGAAGCGGCGTCGGAGGGTGCTGGGGGTAGAGAGTCGGTCAAGGCGGTGAGGAGGTGGGCCGTTTTGCGCAAAGCACTATGCGGTGTCAGACTTGGCACTATGTGTGTTGAGGAACTCACCCTGCGCCCAGCTCGACGACGTCCCATCCCGGCTTCCACCCTCCACCAAGGCCTTCCTCGCCATTTACGCCAACGTTGTGCTTGCCCACGGCTGCATCTCCCCATCGTCCGGGCTTCCAATTCGATTCTGGCCCGGATTGGTAGCCGGTCTCTTGGTGCCCATGCTCTTCTTTACCGCCCTGGAAGCCCATGTACCGAGCGATCTCTTTGCCATGGTCCTTCAGCAGGTTGAGCTCGTCGTTGAAGAGGTAGTACTCTGGGGCATCAGAAGTGATCTTGTCGTACAGCCTGTGGATCGATGAGCATGTGCGGTGTGACGAAGGCGGGGACATACCGCAGACCCTCTTCGTCATAGAGGACGACGGTGGGGACGCTTCTCTTGAATGCCCACTTGTTGTCTTCGGGGGTCGATCCCGGGACGGTGGGCTGTGGTGTGCCACGGAGGCCTGTCTCGATCTCGCGGCTGATGCTCCAGGCTGCGTCGTCCTGTTCGGAGGGGCGTCTATGGGGGAGGGTGAATATGGCGGACATGATATGGCGGTGGGGATGTCACTGGGGGGCTGGATGGCTGCTGCTATATAGGGTGTGCTTTGTCAGCAGAAAAGTAACGTACAGCGGGGCGACAACAGCATCTGGAATCGGCTGATAAGTGACGTCCCATGACGTCCGTTGCCCGAGATAGTTCCTAGATATCCAGGCACTTGCCAATCTCCCCCGCCTATCTCTCCACCCGGCCCAGCGGGCACTGCCGCCGCGATGCCATTTGTAAATCTTAGAGGGAAGGCCTCTCAATGTGGCCAGAATGTGGCACAGGAAGCGCTCTCGAAACAAGTCACATGCCCAGTCGTCGGCTTTGCCACGCATCCCCCTCTGCCACATGATTCCTCTACAACACTACAAACTAGGTCCGGCATCAAATCACCCCACTACACAGCATCTACTTCTCGGAAGACAACGCCTTCTGTGCCGCACGCAGCAGACTCGACTTTGTAGGCCTGGGGCCCGGGGAGGGCGCTGCCCGTCGCATGGAAACCGTACTCTGCACCTCAGACGCTGAAGATGACGGCCGGGGACGAAGCTGCGGCGAGGCGGCATAGTCGCTCGGCGAGGTGAACGACGACGGCGGGTGTGATATAGATGCGTGAGAGGTGTGGGGAGCGCGAAGCATCGCCGATCTGTTCAGACGTGGCGTCTGGTGATACGATTAGTTTCATCAACGACGATCGTTTGCCCACTTACAATGCTCGGCGCTCCTAGGCTTCTGACTCCCTGGACGCTGGACCTTCTGCGCGCTTTTGCTTCTGCCTCTGTCTCTCTCGGCAGATATACACTGCTGTGGGTTCTGCTTGCCACAGGTGTACGCTCGACGCTGAGGGAAGACATTGCCCTTGTTATCGAAGAACCGCTCGATACCGAGTCTGGAGGCATGACACCCGTGCGAAGCATTGACGACTTGGTCTGCCTCGGCACCTTGATCTATCGTGAGTAGCGTGTCCCCGTATTGGTTGACCATCACTCACGATGCTAGGCGCGCCCAAGCTAGCAGGCGTTATGATACTCTTCCGCCTGCGCTCCTTCTCTTCCTGCTGCCTGGCTTTGTTGGTAGCCGCAATCGCTTCAGGATCTCTCTTGACAACACTCTGAGGCGTCCCCGCTTGGCCTGTCCTCAACTGCGACGACTTTGTCTGTCTGGGGACGATGCTCGGAGTGCCTAGTGAAGCCACATACTAACCTCTGTCAATATCTCGTCACACCTCGTAGCACTCACGATATTCAGTCCCGTCCTCTTGTACCCCGGCACCCCTTTCTCTTCCTCTTCCTTTTCACTCTTGGCTTGTGCGTCCCGCTTCGGCTTGACTTCATCCCAGGCTAGACCTTGGCGAAGAGCCGCCGCCTTGGTCATTCTCGGTCCCACATTCTCCCTCTTCACTGGCGCCGGACGAGCTACGAACCCAGTCCCCGCCGATGAGGGCTTTACCTTGGCAGGCTCTTGCTTTTGCGCAATAGACTTCAAGACCGGATCTGCCTTGACATCAAAGGGCGTTAGAGAGGACATGTCGAGTAATCCCACGGGCATCTCTATTGGATGAACCAGCTCTTCGACGTCGTCTTGTGGCCCCTGATTGTCCAGACTGGTACGAAGAGTGGATGGGGACAAGGTGGTGCTCTGAGTGGTACCCGGGGTCAGGAGGGGCTCAGAGTAGGAGGTGTGCGGCGTGTCGGGCATGACGAGCTGTTGACAGGACGATGGTGTCTGGTGTTGTGGCGGTATACTTGAACGCTGGGTGCCGGGATGGATGTTGATATGACAATGAGGAAAGAAAGACAGAAGAGATGGATGTAGAAGCAAGTACTGGGCTGTATCCAAGCAATCGGTCCATTGTCCCTTGACTTGTCAACACCGAACAATGGCCCAGGCACCGCTCCAGAACAAAGGGACGCCGAGGATGGGAGGACGCGACGCGACGCGCTATGCAGTGCACCTGAGGATATTCCCTGGTAGATAGCGCTCTCAATGTGCTTGAGTAGAAGACTAAGACCACAGACTATAGCAGCGACGTATGATGATCAGTCTTGCATATCCCGAGTCTGGACTCCCTGGAGTACCCAAGGGTTGTTGCGCGGCCTGAGACTCTGCGGTGTGCTGAAGAGAACTGAGAGATGTAAGGATTCGAACGTGTGAGATTATAGTGCAGTAGAGAGAATGGGATGGAAAGGGACCACATACTGGCAGTCTGCCCGCCGGCGAAGCGGAACCAAATTGAAGAGCGTCAGTCGTCACCGTGGCACTTGAATCAAAGTTGGGCATATAGCGACGTTCTGTACAACAACGCCATGCCCTCCCTCCCCACCGCTCTCCTCCTCCTCCTCCCTCCGCTCGCACTCGCATTCACCCAAGGCCCCCACCACCTCCGCGACCTCTACGCCTACCCCAAATACCAAGTCCAGTTCCTCAACGACTATCCCATCTCCGAGAGCGTGGCCAAACTCGTGCGGGAGGTAGGGTTGGGGAGTCAAAGTGAATGGGAACAGCTGATACCGGGCGGAGGAAAAAGATTGGGAGATGGTCCCACGGTACGATTGCCAGTGTTTGTACAGTGCTGTTACTGATACCTGCGCAGGAGAAGCTGGATCTGATACCGATGAACTTTTCTCCCAAAGATGCAGATCCCAGCGAGGCGCCACACCAGTACCTCTGCCTCATGCCCTCCCAAAATACGACCCAATCCCAACTCGCCACCCTTGATCAGCTGGAAGAAGTCGAAGACGAGCTCGACCCCGCCCAGGGGTGGGCCGCGCTGTCGCATCTCGACGGCAAGTGTCTATATTCCAAACAGGGGTGGTTTACATACGCGTGAGTAGGCTCTCGATCTATGCCTAGACACAACTGAAGCTCTCTAGATACTGCCACAACTCTTACATCCGTCAATTCAGGGCTGCCGCCCACCCCCATGCCCATCCGACACAGGGGTACGTGCCGCAAGAAGACCCCAACTACGAAGGCTACACGCTCGGCCGCGCTCAATTCGACTCTTCCTACGAAAGATCGCAGAGCAAATCCTCGAGATCCAAAGTGAAGGGTGCCAAGCCCGGTTCTCCAGCGCACAAAGCCGAAAAGTCTGTCGATTCCGCCTCTGGACAGACGTCGACTTCTCCTTCCGTCTCATTCGGCCATGGTGCCTCCTCGCGGTACCTCATCCAGCGCTGGTCGGACGGCACTCGTTGTGACAAAACGTCTCGTCCGCGCTCTACCGAATTGCAAGTCCACTGCTCAATGACCTCCTCCGATACCATCTACATGATCAAGGAGGTTGCCATCTGTCAGTATGTCATGATCATACATAGTCCGCACTTGTGTGGGCTGCCAGGGTTCAGGGCGAGAGAGGCCGAGGTGGGAGGTGCGGGAGTGATGTGCCGGGAGGTTGTGGGGGACCACGAGTGGGAAGAGTGGAAGAAGGAGAGGAGCTTGGCTGGTGCGGTGAAGAGCGACAAGGAGGCAAAGAGCGAAGGGCAACAGTCATTCGCTGCCAAGCCAGGCAAAGAACTTCCCAATCTCCGCTTTGGTCTCGCCGCTGCTCGGGAAAAGCCCAAAGCAGACGAGGCTTCAAAAGATTCAGCCGTACCAAACAAAATCAAGCAGGGCGTTACCCTGGAACAAGTTGTTTTTGGCGTCGACAAGGACGACGACATCACAGCGGCGCTCAGAAAAGCTCTGGACGCACTGGCTCAAGAAACGAGGGGTGAGAGTGTTGATGAAGGGCAGCAAGGGAACGAGGGCGAGGTACTGCTACTCGCGTGGGATGAAGATGAAGGAGGTGGGGCAGTGTTGGTGGAGGCAGACATGCTGGTGCGTGATGGAGAGGAGGAGAAAAAGGTTGGTATCAAAGGAGGGGAGAGAGAGTTGTTGCAGCAGATCCTGCGCCAGTACCTCAAAGACTCTGAAGATGATGACGAAGAGTCGGAAGGAGAACATAGGGTGAGAGATGAGCTTTGAGAGCAAGTTCATTGTATTATTGCTGCTTGTACAAATCAACACACAATTCATACCGAGGGATGACTCTATCAAGTTTCACTTTGGTTACAACCAGACAGGGTAGCTACAGACAAAAAAAAAAATAACCGATTAAAAGGCTCTATGACTACAAAACACGCAAGGAAAACATTTACAATTGTATCACTTCACAATCCTCGTCTTCTCCAAGCTCAAATGCTTCACCTGCAACGATCCTTCCCCAGCCCACCTGGGGCCGCCGGACCTCATTTGCGTTCGACTGCGTCCGCTTCTTGGTCAAGAGGCTGGCAGCTTCTTCACCCGCCCCCCTTGCACCTTCAGCATCACCAACCACAGATGGCTTGATATCGGCCAACGGAAAGACCAACCCCATGATCCGTTTGAGCCCTATCCACCCTGCAGCCCACGCTAGCGTCACGACTACTACACTCGCCGTACACAGAGCCGCAGACTCTTCCAGGTCGGCGTCTTCGCGGGGCGAGGGGACGGCGGACGAAGCAGGGTTGGAGCAGGGAAGATATGGGGTAGAAGGATGGAGGGTGTAAATGATGGCAGCAAGGGGCCAAAGGATGAAGAAGGTCGAGGCCGCTGCCACTTCTATGGCTCGCGTTTGACGGCGGCTGATGAAAGAGTCGCCATCAAGAGGCTTTTGATCTCGGGAAAAGTGTGCTTTGATGCTATGAACCGTCAGTCGTGCTCGTTGTAGCAAATAGAGACTCACCAGACGGCGGAGAAAATCAAGCTGAGGATAGCAATCACAAGCACAAACACGACACTCGACGACATGACCCCGACATTCAAGGCCACCACCCCCGCGAATGCCACGCCTATCGAACACAAGGCCATCGGAAGGTATGTCCACAGCCTGCCCTCGGCAAATTTGTCTCTCTTGGTTGGTGGGGGAAAAAGAGGGTCTGATGTATCTTGCGCTTCCGTGTGTTCTGGTGCGTAAGGATTGCGAAGAGCAGTTGTAGGGGATAGGGTGCCGTAAGAGACTGATGTTGAGGCAGTATCCGGTCTGTCTTCTGCTCTACTCGGTCCGAGGATGGGGGAACCCGTCTCCGACCCCACTGCGAGCTCCCACATTACAAATCCCTGCCCCCCAGTAGCCTTTCCCGCCCCCGTCGCTTCAGCAACCTCCTCATCCTCCAGCAAGCTCGCGTAATACCCCGGCGAGAGCGCGTTCGAGAGTATAACGAGCAAGAGCGCGAATGTGCAGAGAGATAAAAGGTGAAGGAGGGAGAGGTCAAATGTCAGGAGAGGGCAGGTGGGGAGGAGGACTTCGGGTAGCGTCGGGGAGCATACTCCTTGCTCAAGCGTGAATGCGGAGAATGCCATGGTGGCGGCTGAGTCGACAGTCAGTCATGTCAAATGGAGGGGGGGGGGTTGTAGCGCACATGTCCAGCATATCCACAGCATGGCAATGAGACTGAATTCTATGCGATCCAGATACAGCCTCCATGTTTTCGGGAGCGTGATATATGCAATGCGTCTGTACCAGATGAGCGCGATCTTGTTTGTACAGTCTGTACTTGCAGTATAGCCACGCCTATAAGACCCGACGATCCAAGGACGACGACGACGCCACGGATATCCCCGGGACTTCCGGCATACATCTCTGAGCCTGTCGGGTGTCAGCAGAGAGATGGTATGAGACGGGTGCTTACCCCCTGCGGCTGCTGGGGCGGAGGATGCGATGGCGACGGCGGAAAATACTGCGAGGAGGAGGTGCAGCGCCCAGACTGCCTGTGCGGTGCTGAGGAGGGATGCTGCCATGGCTGGTGCATGGAGAGAGACATGTTGCATGCCTGATGGATATGATGATGTTATGGCACTGGAGTGGCGACCGCCGCAACCTGTTTCCGTCAACACGCACAAAATGAGGCTGCATCTTGATCTTCCTTCCACAACTATACTCCCTCACAATGCGCTTTGCCCTGGAAGACGTCGACTCGGACTCGGACTACGATATCCTCGCACCAGTCCATGACCCAGTCTACTCGGACGACGACGACGATAGTCTAGATGGCCTCGAGTGGTCCGTCCTGTATTCCCCTTGCACCCGCCACCCGCTGACACTTTGCAGGGTCAACACACAACCCCGCTCGTCCCTAGGAAGATCCCTTCGCGCAGCACTCGACTCTAGTGACGACGAAACCACAGCCTCGGATGGTAGCATCGAGTTCATCGGATTCGGCGGTCGCTTCGGCAAAGGCAAGGAAAGGGAAACAGACCACGAGCTAGACGCAGAGCTGGACTCGGAGGATGAGGTCGAATTCATGGGGTTCGGCGCCGGACCGAGTCGTCCTAGGTCAGGCATGAGCTCGAGGAGATCATCGAGCAAAAGCCAGCCTTGGAACGTTTTTGGCAGGTGCGTGGTATTCCTTGATCCGCCCACGTCCCTCTAACCCCTCATTAGCTCTTCGCGGAAGAAATCAGTTTCACAATCCCATGCCCCTGCCTTACTCCGCAACTCGCTATTGACACGCTCTGCGACCAGTATTCAATCAAAGACCAAAACCCACCTGGCGGACGCTCTGCGGGACGAAGATGGGTATGAGGGTTGGGTCAAGAAGACCGAGCTGGACGCCTGGGTATGATATCACTTTTTCAATTAGCACAAAGCTAATACTCGACAGCGCGATAACCAACGGCGAGTCGCTCTGCAACGCTCCCAAATCCGAGACATCTCCTCCAATGCTCGGCAAAAGATCCAATCTCTCCAACAAGTGCAAATGTCCCGCGAAGCGGAAGAAATGAGCCAGATGCTGGAGGGACTCGTCATACGGCATCGGAAAGAAGAGGAAGAGCTGCAGAGGACTTTCAAAGAGCGGGAGAAGGCGTTGTGGGAGGATATCGATGGTGTTATCAAGGCTGCAGAGAAGCAGTACGCCGAGGCCGAAGCGAGAGCTGCTGCAGACGCCCAAGCTATAGCAAGAAAGGAAAAGGAAGAGCGAGACGTCCTGATTGCCGAAGCTGAGAGACTCGCTCGTGCCCAAAAAGCCGAAGATGAACGGCGCGCCAATGAATTCGCCCTCAAGCAGCAAAAGGTGCGTGCTGCAAAGGAAGCTGAAGAGAGGCAGAGACGAGAAGCAGAGGAGAAGGCTCAGCTGGAGTCTCGCAGAAGAGACAAGAAGGGCGAGGCAGGTGCCATGTGGAGGCAATACGTGGAAAAGCAGCAGTGGATGAAGAGGGAAGTCATCGAAGCTGTTAAGGCGGACAAGCCTACCATGACTGCTCTGAACAAGAGCAAGAGAATGATGACCAGGTGGTTGGGGCAAACGCTGAATACGAAAGAGTCGGTTACCAAGATCGTAAGTCTGCGTCTTGTCCTTTGAGCACAGTCACTGACTTTACAATAGACGAACGACATTCACGACATCCTCGTACAACATTTGCCTAACTTGCCCACTGCCGCCTCCCCCTTCGTCCTCAATAACGACATCCCTAGACCCTACGCCTATCTCCTATCCCACATCTCCAAAGTCCTCATATCTCAGGCCCAGTCAGAAATCACTTCAAAGCCTGCATCAGCTTATCCACTGGGCAAGATTGTGTATGGCTTGATGTTGAGGGGCCACGCGGCGCTAGGCGACATCTTGTTTGCGAGGTTCGTGAAAAAGTGTCCTTGGGTTGTGCCCTTCTACCCTGCCAGACAGCCTGTAAGCGCGCTTTCTGTCTATCCGTGCAAAGCTGACATTGTGCAAGAACCAATCCCGCGAAGAGTACGAACAGTCCACAGGCCGTGGTACCGACGAATCGTCGCACGAATACATCTCCCGCATGTCTTTCATCTCCACCCTCTTCTTTGCCATCCTTCAAACGCCCATCCCATCACTCATATCCACCCTCCCCACCCCACTACCAACGCCACAACAACTAGAGCAGCTCATACCAGTGCCAATGAGGCTGAGCTACGCGTGGACGTGGATGGCGCTGGCATTGAGAGACCCAATGCCTGCTTCGCCACCTATAGCTACGCTCGTGACTACTTGGCTGGAGATTGCGTTGGCAGAGTGCATCTCTGTCTATGGCAAGATTCAGACGGACAAGATCAGAGAAGCGTTGGAGAGAGAGGGTCTGCAGGGAGGAGGATTGAAGGGAGATGGTGGGATGGCACTGGATAAGCTGCAATTTGTCTTGGATAGGTGGAGAAAGGGAGATGACATGGCGCTGAAGGGGAAGGATTGGGCTGCTTAGGGATATATCTTGTCTCATGTACTGTCTTGTTGCCAACACGTCGTCTGCGAGGTCGATTCGAAAAAACTCTGATGGGGATTGCAGCAAGTCACAAACGGATTCAATGCATCTTCTTGTCCTTCTACTCTCTACTCGGCCTTCTTCTTCCCCTTAACATCCCTGTCGGCTTCTCCGAGCGACACCCAGATAGCGCAGAACGCCAAGAAAGTGACACTAGTGCTGATGGCAGCAATGTAGTAGGGCCAGGCGCCAGTAATGAACCTGGGATACTGGTCGTGTCGGAGCGGGACGACAGAGGCGGTTGTCGAAGTGCGGATGTAGCTCCATCTGCAGACCGTCAGCTGGATCTCGCTCTGCTTGGCTCAAGACTCACCCTGGCCTCCAGTATTCAACGACAAACTTGAAGACACCGTGCCTATCAGGAGCGATGAACCTAGCCTGATAAGTCGTAGACTCGGCAGATGTGGTGTTCTTGTCCTCTACCATAGCGGTGCGGATAAAGGGGTCGAGCATGGTGAAATCCATCTGAATGTCGTCGGCAATGAACGGGCCCCAAGCGGTGGTGCGGTCGGGGAGAGTGACGTGTTGGGCAAGAGTAAGGGAGTAGGTCTGCAGGATGGGTCAGCTTGAACGACAGATGGACAGGTAAGCACATACAATATCGTCCTTCTTGGTGTAGAATGTTCGGGGCTCAGACTCTCCTTCACGATAGTGGGTTGAAGAGACAATCTTTACGACACCAGTCTCCTGGAAGACCCATTTGGTAAAGTCGGTCGCGAAAGCAGCGTTACCAGTCTCAACACTACTTTTGCGTCAGCATAGCCACGGCGAGATCATTGCTCACTCACGTCTTGCCATCGAGGGTCTTGACAGTCTTGCCCCAGTACTTGTCACTCAACAAAGCACCGCTGCCTACGAAACCAGCTCGGGCATTGTCCCTGGTCTGCAAAGCACTGACCAACGTGGCCTTCTTGCCAGTCTGCAACGCATCCTTGCCCTTCTTTCCGCCAACAGCCTTCTCTACCTCGGCCTCGTCTCCAGTAACGGCCTTGTCTTGTCCAATGTAGGCAGTCTTGGGAGCGTGGAGGACGTCGATCAGGTAGGGGTTCTGACCAGTAGTGTGGACAGTGCCCTGAGGGAAGACGATGGGTCCGCCGGTGAGGGTAGAGTTGGAGAGGATTGGGCCATTTCGGATGGCGGTTTCCGTGGGGGAGAGGAGGACGGTAGAGACACTTTGGTCTGAGGGATGAGCAAAGGCGTCGATGAGGGTGTTTTCAGGAGAGACGAATTCGAGGTCGTATTCTCTAAAGAACTCGCGTTGGGATTCGGGAATGTCGGACGACAGGAGGTAGAGAGTGTTGAGGCCCTTGAGCTGAGCTTCGAGGGCCGCCTTGGGAGCAAATCCTGAGGCGATTGCTACAACTTTGTTAGCGCTGCGACAAAGTCAACTAGATGGGACTTGCTTTTTGATGAGGGTGCAAAGAGGATCAAGTGGTCATACTGCGCTTCACCATACTTGATGAGCTCGGTGTCTCTAGCCTTGGTGTCTCTAAATGTGAGCTGAAACCCTCGCTCTGAAGCTATCGTCAGCCCCGCCCTGCGTACGTCTGCTTCCACTGACGTTCTAGGGATGCCCAGAACTGAGAGTAGTCGTCTCTGGCAACTGCGGACTCGAGGACGACGAGGACACGGTCGCCGGTGGCGGACTTTGCTGCGGCGAGGGCTGCGAGGGAGAGGAGGGGCAGGAGGGACGCCGTGAGCCGCATGCTGCTTTTGGAGTGATTGCTGGGGAGACAACTCAGGCATCTCATTCCATCTACTATGCTGCTGCTGCGTCCGACGTGGAGTGGACATCCCCGCCGCTTACATAAGCCAGACGCGCCGCCAAAACACTTCATGTCGAGACGCGTCCGTCTTTGCATTCTTTCCTCCCTCACCGCCATGTTCCGCCCCGCCCTCAGACAGACCTCCTCCAACAGCTACGCCGCCCCAGAGGTCAAGCTCAGCAAGCGCGGCCATAACACCAGGCGCGACTCCCCCTACCCCTACCGCCTCAATTTGTGAGTCTACGCGACGCGCTTGGGTCTTGTGCTGATCTGTATGCCAGTTACGAGCGACCGCCGTCCCTCGATATCACTCTTGAAGAGTTTGAAACGTGTGCTATTGCCCGACTACGCGTCCTCTCATATATCGAATCTTTATCACATCGGTCATTACAGTACACCCAGTTCGCGTCCCAGCTCGACAAGTACTCGAAAACCCACATACCGCTCGCCAGCAGCACTGCCAAGAATGAAGATTTGGATGATCAGAGAAGGCGAGACGAAATAGGACATTGGGTCTTGAGGCTGGCGTTCTGTCGCAGGTGAGCTTGCTACGCTGTTCGCGTCTTCCCAGGGGACGAATAATATTGACGCGTTTTGTCCAAACAGCCCCGATCTTCGACAACGCTACATTCGCGCTGAATCTCAGCTATTCAAGTCGCGGTTCGAATCGGATGACAAGCAAGAGAGAGAGGCGTTCTTGGACTCGGTATCTTTCGGCTACGACAAGGTCGACGATGCTGAAAAGGCCGAGCTGGCCACCCAGCTCAAAGCCATGACCCCGTCTGTAAAGGGCGAGCACCATAGAAACGACGTCTGGTACAAGGTTCCATGGTACAATGTCCCGGACCTTGTCGGCAGCCGAAAAGTCTTCATCAAGGGCGGTTTCGCCTACGTCCCCCAATCCCTCCAATTCTCGCTCGTGCTTCAGCTGTTTTGCGACCGCCTCGAAAAGGCGCTCGAATTCACCGCCAAGAATCTCCCCCGGTTGGACGAGGACGAGCGTCTTGGCCCGGTCATTGACCACCTGGTCGCGTCTTTCTTGTCTGGTATTGGAGATGCCGACTACCAGCCTGCTGAGAACGCCGGAGATACCATCACCGCCGATACCATCGACGAGGTCGCGAGAAAGCACTTCCCGCCCTGTATGCGCCACTTGTATGAGTCGCTCAAGAGAGATAATCACTTGAAGCATTACGGAAGATTGCAGTTGACATTGTTCATCAAGGTGCGTCCCCAGATGGTGTTGCAGGATGAAACTGACATCGCCTAGGGTCTTGGTGTACCCCTCGACCAAGCCATCATCTTCTGGCGGCGAGGCTACGGTCCCAAGATGACAGATGACGATTTCAACAAGAATTACAAGTACAACATTCGTCATAGTTACGGTCAAGAAGGCAAACGTGCCAATTATCCGCCCAAAGAGTACGTCTCCACCTTTTCTCTCGTGACTCTTTGCTGATCTCGCAAAGCTGCCAGACCATCCTCACCCAGAACCAACCCAACGGCTCTCAAGAGAACCACGGCTGCCCCTTCCGCCACTTCTCCCCCGACAATCTCACCACCTTCCTCTCCTCGACCTACCCGGATCACTTTACGCGCTCCTCCCCGGCCATGAAGGAGATTATCGATAGCGTAAAGGGGAGCCATTTCCATGTGGCTTGTACGCGAGTCTTTGAAGTCACGCACGGGGTGAACAGGGGAGAAGGGTTGGGCAATGGAGAGAGTGTGAGTCACCCGAATAAATGGGCAGACAGGAGCCGGGAGTTGGAGAAGGAGGCGGTTGCGGCTGTGCAGGCAAAGGTCGAGGAGCCGATAGTCGTCGACCAATAGATTGTTTTCCTTGGGGTGTATTCGGGTCTGTTATCCATCTACTTGTACTTTATTCATGCAGCTCTTTCACGACAGTCAAACAGCGGAATTACACAACGTGCATCATTGTGCCAAATACAATCCTGAGAGTTGAAAAGATAATATACCAACAGTGTAACGATGATGGATGTACGTAAGATGCTAAGAATATGAAGAATGAAAAGCGATACGAAACGGAAGGTCATATAGAGGATCGCAAAGATGCGCTCCATCATGACCTTCCAAAGGTGAACCATCTAGATCCATGATCCTCCCCTTCACTCTCTCCTTGTTGCGCTCGTTGCTGAGCTTGCTCCCTGTTCTCGCTGTGAACAAGTCAGATCGAGTTCCTTGTATGTAGCTGACGACTTACGCCTCGCTCATAGCAGCAATAGCCTGTGTCACCATCTCCTCGGGCAGATCCGCCGGCAGCCCGTTTGCATAGACGTGCGGGTCCAGCGGCGCATATCCAGGTGGAGGTGGCGAGTCTGGCCCAGGAAGCCTCGTCACCACTGGCGGGCCCTCGCGTCTTTCGCTTTCGGCGGGTGTGACAGGAGAGCGTGGTTGAGGAGTGGTATCAGACTCGGTGTCTTCCGAGGTGAATTCGGGAGGGAAATAGTTCCCGCCACGGAGGCTGTGCATGGAAATGTCGAGGAGGTTGGGAGTGGGAGGGTTGTGTTCGATAGGAGATTGTTCGCGCCCTAGATCGCGCCTCGGCGTGTTCATACCACCGTCCGACGATCCAGATTGAGACGACGCAGAGGAAGAGGACTCGACAGCTGGAGGTGGAACACGAGTTTGAGGAACGGGAGCATCGGTGGGCGACTCGTAGCTCAGTCCGTGAGATGAAACAGAAGACCCCGAGCTCTGAGACAAGTGCACGTCTTCGGCGCTCTCGTCAGCTGGCCGTAGGGGACTAGGGACATGGTTTTCAGGCCCAGGGCGGCGGTGGCGATGTCTCCTCGTCCTCCCACTCCCACCAGAGGCATACATGGCCGACGAGGAGGATGGTCCAGGCGATCCGGACGCATAACTCGGGATACCCCGGTTTCTGGCAGCTTCCAGCAATGCCCCCATCCCCGCATGGCTTCCAGAGGAATCCGCTCCAGGGGTGCCGTATCCAGATTCAAGCAAGATCGACCCTCGCTCACTGCCGTAAGCTGGAGGAGGCGCAAGGGTTCCCACCATGGGCGCCAAACCCCACTTCTTGACATTTGCTTCAATAAAGACGAATCCAGCTTGTCCCAGATTAATGTGAAGCGTACAAGGGCCGTTGGCACCGACAGTAGGGAAGAGGTTCAATCGTTGAAGACCAGTGTAGGCATCGTCCATCTTTCGACCGTTACGGGTGAAGAAGACCGTACCAGTCCGAGGACGATATCCGACACCAAGCACATCGCCTTCGGCTAGTGGAGGGCCGTAGGAGGAAGCAGTGAAGGGAAAGTCGTGCGATTTGAATCCATCGGACGCAAAGTACGCGACCGAGTGCTTGTTCCAGCCGGGCAGCCGGAAGGAGGGGAAGGGCTTGGTAGCGAGCCCGATGGCGATCTCCGTATTGGGGTTCTTTTCGTACAGCTTTACTTCCCAGTAATAGACCTCGTTGAGCTTGGGGAGGGGAAGGTTCGCCATGACAGAGTTTCCTCCCCCCTCGCGAGCGGGCATGCCGGGACCATCGGAAAGAAAGGTGATCTCGGTACGGGACTGAACATACAGGGAGAGGTTCTCCTCGTAATTCGGTTCAAACGCCCAAGCAGAGACGCCCTTTTCCTGGATAGAGAGAAATTGTGATAGTGTGATGTCGGTGGGTATAGACGTGGGCGGGAATTGTGCTTGCCAGTCTGCAACAGCATAAGAACAGCCCTAGGGCGGCAAACAAGACTCACCTTTGGCGCGGTTGTATGCCTCTCGAATATCGGGGTCGACAGTCTCTAGCCACCTTGCTTCAACGCCCTCTGTTCCGCCTTCCCCAAACACTCCATCGCCTTTGGAAAGATCTAATGGTCCGCCATCTTCTAACAATCTGCACCCCTGTCAGCAATGAGGTCGATGTATTCCCACGATACCCACCTGATGCCTCTCCTACGACGCATAAACAAGACGGCCACCAAGAAGACTACGAGGCCCAGCAGTACAGTGAGTACCACGACTAGTACTGGTATGAACACCAGGAGGACAGTAGAGTACCCTCCATCGCTGTCGCCATCCGGCTGGGAGGGGTTGGGAATCTCGGGAACGGCGCGCCAAGAATCTTCCATCTTCATGGAGTTTGATGGGAATGAAGACGATGACAAAGTTTGAGATAGCTTTTGTCGTCTATATGAACGTTTAGATGCCATGAAAGGGCGAAAGGGCGGAAATCGAACGAGATTATATGGCTAGCGTGTTTCCGGGGCGGTTACAACGCCTGCTGTCTCCTGACTACAAGCACAATGGTCGGAAAGTGGATGGTTGGGCGGATCAAAGGAGGTGGTTGCTGGCGAGAGTTTGAAGCTCTGTGTGACTATTTCCAGGAGGCTTTGGATGTCTCGAAGCGAAGATGTGGGCAGCGGGCAGAGAGGAGAGGGGGCAGAGGATGTGTGTCGAGGTACCAGCAAGGCTCTGCTGAGGATATGGGCGGCGATGGCACCGCTTGGAGTGTCGGAGGCTGCGTGCTGGGTGCAGGACGGGGCCGAGAGTGGGAGCGTAGTGAGAGGCCGCAGAAGTCACTTGCAGCATACAGCACTCGTTATCCACTCCCATCCTCGCCTGCGTACGCCGGCATCCCGCCACCCAGCTGACGTAACTCCATTTGGTCCCGCCACATTGTCCGGTTGAGTGACTGCTGCCGATGGACCTTTCATTCTCTCCTTGATACTAGGCATCTTGGTCGTTAACAGCGCACATTTCAGCCTCCAGTACTTGGAGAAACATCTCTGCACCAAGTCTACAATTATTGGCGTAATTATTGGCGTTGACGTGCCGGCGCTTTAATTTGGTCAAGACTAACCAGACACCCATATGTGGCATTGTAGTAGAGCTTGGAGGGTGCTGGGGCTTGCCAGCTATGCATTGATGATACACGCAGACAATAGACAGTCAACCACTGGGTATGTTTTTGCGTTTATCGGTCTCAATGCTGCCTGTAAAATCAATACCATACTACCCTGTTAGCCGACAACATCAAGTCCGCGTAGCACAGTGGTAGTGCGCTTGACTACGATTACGTAAAGCTGGCGTATCAAGAGGTCGTGGTTTCGATCACCACCGTGGATTGTTTTTTTTTCTTGCATCAAGCTGTCGTCTTCTTGGCCATTGGGAACCATCAGAAAACAGTCTGTATCGGGAGTTCTGGTGTCTCGATTTGAGGGTGTAGTGGCTAGTGTCGCCAGCTGAGTGTCAAAAATTGATCGTCCTACACGCAACTCGGAGGTGGCCGATCTGAGCGAGACACCTTCTCCCGCTTGCGAATGAATGGTCTGAGTGGAGTGCATAAAGGTCGAGGCTTATCACCACGAGGGCAATAAGTGGGCGGTAGATATCAAGCAGGTGTTGGGGATGCCATGGGTGAGAAATTGGGGATGAAACGCTCATTAGGTGGAAAGGTTGAACGAAAATGGTAAACAAATGCAGCACAGCAAGCTCTCAGACAGACTTTGCTTCATTCTGTCCTGGCGCATGGTGCATCCCAGAGCAGGTGGGAGATCGGTTGACCACGCTCACAAACAACGGGTATCAGCAAATACATAAATCGTCAAGTCGTAATCTTCAAAGCAAGCTTTGTATGAACATCATCCAAGCAGCTCGACCTTCGTCCGTCCTGATCTAATCAGCATTCCTTGGAGTCTTTCTTCCAAACATTCCCTCAGCTGCCAGGTCGGTCAACATTTCGCACGCACCGCAAGGAGGACTAATGCCCACCTGGATGGTATTGCGCCTCTTCTGGCCGCGAGATGCCTCCCGCCCCCGCCCCGACACCCGCATTTCCAGAGTACCCCACCCCCTGTCCTTCGTGGTATTGATTGGCGACAGGCGTAATCTCCTCATCCCTCATACGCGCCTCGGCTGGGTGATCCACGTAGCCACCACCCGGGGTGCTGAATGGATATTGCTGCCCGTGCCCATCGGAATAGGTTGGAGGGTAACCTTGTGGTTCTCCAGACGCATCCTCATACCGCCCGTGCTGGTAATCGTCTTGATACCCCGCATCATGGTACGCCCTCTGATTACCCTGGTCTTGAACAGAATCCATGCTCGCCCGAGTATCCCAAGCATCGGCATGAGGACCAGGCATGTTGTAAGTCGAGCCGGGGTTGTAGCGACTGGAACGAAGAACAGACATTGTGAATGCTTCCGGATTCTCGTTGTAGACGGAATGGTAGAGCTTGTGATCGTCGACTTGGGATGTTGAATATACCCGCGTCAGGCTGTAAAGGTTAGCACTGCTACAAATGGAGAGTGTCGAGCGTACTAGAGAAAGTAGAGTTGGACAATGAGCATGATCACCCAGAGGCCTCCCATCATCCCTATATCCGCCCAAGCGAAAGCGCTACACAGTGTTTGCCCTTCGCTGGCCAGTGTAGAGTTGGCAGACGACGAAGTGCTTGTCGTGTCTGAAAAGAACTTTTCCTGTCAACGAGTCAGTATAGTCGTCAAGGCATATTGCAATTGAATCACCTCGCATGCGGTGACAGCGGTATCATGTTTGAGAGCGGAAGCGATGATGAGTGCCGCCGAGCACACAAAGCCAGCTACAACGGCAAGACCATTCAGCAGCGTGTACACCTTGAACGTCGATGATTTTTCCTATGACACCGTCAGATTCCGCGAGGAGATAGAGCACACAAATCAACGTACTCTGACTACCCCTATAAATCCTATAGGTTGCAGCCCTGCGATGACAAAGCAGATTATGGCGAATATGACTCCTCCAAATGAAGGGAAGGATGCTCCCACGACTACATGCGAATGAGCGACTATCACCACATTCTAGGCACGCCTAGCATACCATCAGGAGTAGCAAGCACCATGATGCCAATAGCTGCGCCAATGACCTGCAAGCTGTCAGTCGGATATCGGACACTCAAATGACAGGCAACGAACCGCATGTTCGCCCAAGACTGTATATATACCAGTGTTGACGAGTGGTACAGCTGGACGGAATCAGTACATGGTATTCTTTCACTGGTATTCTTTCACAATCGCTGGGACTAACCGCAACAGCAGTACCGCGGGTCTATCAGACCCTTGCCCATTGCAAAAGTAGACATTGCTTGTTCTTGTTGTCTTCCGACGCGTCGAGGCGGCCGGCTTTGTGGGCTTTTGTAGATTGTCGGAGTGGGAACCGACTGCAGGGAGTGTTGATTGGGTCCGAGGGGGGGATTGGGAGAGCGACGAGTTGCGTATGACAGACCTGAATGCACTGCACGAAACACTCTTTTCATCGTTCTTCGCGGCAGGCGTAGCACTGCTTCACGCTGCACCGCGTTTTGAGTGTTACGTAATGCCACATTCTTTGCTCGAAGTTGATGATGAAGATGTACCACTGTATGCGTCATGTATGGGAGTGCAATGGGGTCTAGGCGTCTAAAGAAGCCATCTGTGCTTTATGTGAGCGGGAAAATAGAAGAAAGCATGTTGTAAGGGCATGATGTAAACATCTATGAGTACATTTCTGCTTCAGCCACCGACATCTTTGTCGGCCGTTCTGTCTTTCCTTTCCTCGACTGATCACCACGGGAGCCACATTTATCTCGTTTATATGATCCTCTCAGTCTCACCATCCATCAATGCGGGGGTGTTGGCTGGTTGGGGGATTGGACGTCCCATAGCTTCTGTGACGCCCGAAGAGGCCAAGAACTGTGCCCATTTGGGTTCAATGAACAATGCACTTTGAAGCAGGTCAGCTTCCTCTCATGCAATCATGACAGTCTTACGTGGCATCAACAACCCTGTCCCCGTGCAAGGTCTCCATCTTGGCCTCTACAACGGCCTTTCTCCCCTTCAGCTCTTTGAGGCTCGTTCTCACGATTACAAATTGGTCGGCCATACAGGGAGATCGGTAGTTGAGGTTGAGGTTGGCGGTAACGCCGATGCGGGATGGTAGGTTGAGCAAGGCGTTGCGGCCGAGCGTTTCATCGAGGACCGTGGCGAGCAAGCCGCCGTGGACGATGCCGTCGTGGCCACAGAGCGACCTCCCAAGGTGGATAATGGCTAGGGCATGTCAGTACATAGCCATACATCAGAGATCAGAACGCACCGATGGCTTCAGACTCGTCATGTTTGGCAAACACGATAGGGGGCACGGCGAGTTTACCGGGTCCGCGCAGAGAGCCAGCAGTAAGAGAGTTGTGGATCTTTTGGGGGTCGTAATTGTCGTACGGTCCTACTCTACATCAGCACAGTCCCAGAGCTTGACGAAAAGTATTCACGTGTCTCGTACCAATCAGCACCCTTCTTGATCTCATATCTCATATTCTGAACCACCTCGAGCTCTTGCAGACTCCTTTCCACATCGTCCGTATGGGCTCTGCCACTAGGACTGTCTTTCACAGGCGCAGGAGGAGCATAGCGTGGGAGGATCATGAGCACGAGGGAAGGGGGAAAGGCGGCACCGGCGACATAGACTACCGGCAAGGCAAGGGCGATGACTGATGGTGGTGCGTGAGTGGTATATCGATAGAGCGAGGTCTCGGACTCACGGAGTCTGGTTCCCCACTTTCTAAACAAAGACGGTCCTTGAGAGGGGGCGTGGTGGGCTTGGTGAGTGTGGGGATGGGGAGCATGCTGGGTGAGATGGCGCGCGAGACGAGTAGCTCGGGGTGATGCAAGCTGGGGGCGGAGGCGGAGGGCAAGGCCAGGGGCAAACTTGTTGAGGGGGGGCATGTCAATGTGAATGAGACAATTCCGTGCAAGATATAAGAGGCTTCTTTGGCAGACGGGACGGATGAAAGAGGTGGATCGACATCCCCCCGCACTTTCCGGGGTATATAAACGGCGGCGCGTCGGGCGGCCTTCGGCTGTCGCCGTCCGTCCACGATCCACATGTTGAGCGAACCCCTCCGATGTCTTTTGCGCGGTCCGGGGCACAACTGCCAGTCAGTACTCGCATGACGTTGTTTGGGTCGTTGCAGAGCTACCAGGGAAGACTCGGGCGGTAACGGATACGGGATACTCACGGGTACGCTGCTAATCTGTAACTCAGTGTCCCCATGTCCTCATGACAAGAGCCGTGGGATGATAAAGCAACTGCATAGAAGCTCATATACAATTCTGCGCCAAATGTAGTAACCAAAATTATAACCAAAATGCCTCTAAAACAACGATTTTTCGATCTCTAAACTTGATCCTTCTTTCCCAAAGCATCTCCAAATTGTAAATGCCCCCTTATACGTCCACTCGGCCACCACCAACAGCAGCATTGCCGACGGTGTGAGGCTCGACCTTTTCTGATGGAGACTCGTGTCCGTTACTGCCGTTGTCGGCGATCACGTCACCAGAAGTGAGGTGGGGTCGAGAGTCGACACGGTGGAGACGGAGCTCGGGGTCGGTACCCACTGCATAATTCGTCAGTTTTTTGTCTTTGGGCTTGAAAAAAGAAACATACCATAGTCGTAGGCAAACTCTCCGAGGTAGGCGTCATCGATACCAACGATTTCAGCGTCTTCGCTCGCGCGGAGTCTGAGACCGGGGATAAAGTGGAGGATCCAGCAGATGATGGTGGTCATGACAAAGCTGTAGGCGAAACCGGCAGTGAGGTCGGCGATCTGGTAACCAAGCTGGACGTAGTTGTGGTTGAACCAACCTGAGGAGTTGCGTCAGCATTTCCATCTCTTTGAAAGGGGATATAACTCACCTCCGTCAATCTCGGTGATACCGTCGAAACCAGCGACAGAGGCCTGGGCAAAGAGGGCGGTCATGATGTTGCCGACCATACCTCCGATACCGTGGGAAGCAAAGACATCGAGAGTCTCGTCGACGTGGATGAGGAACTTGAGCTTGGTGGCAAAGTTGCAAGCGACGGCAGTGACGAATCCGATAGCCACGGCAGCAGGGGCACCGACGAAACCAGCGGCGGGAGTGATCTATCCACAGTGTCAGTAAAGCGCAAATGATGAATGAATAAAAATAAAAATAAAAAGCAGACTCACACCGACAAGACCAGAGATGGCACCAGAGCAGAAACCGACAGCAGACCACTTTCGCTCAAGTCGGTAATCCAACATCATCCAGGTCAAACCGCCACAGCTCGCGGCAAGGTTGGTGACGATACAAGCCTGGACAGCTCGGAGGTTGGCAGAGAGGGCGGATCCACCGTTGAAGCCGAACCATCCGAACCAGAGGAAGACCGTACCGAGGACGACAAAGGCAGTGTTGTGGGGCTTGTAGGCGAGTCGCTCGGTGCCGTAGCCGCGGCGCTTGCCAAGGTAGAGGGCGATGGCGAGGGAGGCGGTACCAGAAGAGATGTGGACGGGGGTACCACCAGCAAAGTCGAGACCACCCATGACAAAGGACCAACCGTTAGAGTTCCAAGTCCAGTTGGCGATAGGGCAGTAGACGATGGTGAGCCAGCAGAAGAGAAAAACCATGACGGGGCCGATACGAGAGCGTTCGGCGAAACCACCAATGGCGAGAACACCGGTGATTAACTATGCGCGTGTTAGAAAGTGGCTTGCTAATAGATAGGCAGCACTTACGCAGAACATGCACTGGTAAATGGCAAAGACAAGCGCAGGCACGCGGTCAGAACCCGCCGAAGGTTGAGCGAGCACGCCCTTGAGACAAAAGTATCGCAGGTCACCAATGAATCTGTAGAATGTTAGTGGGTGGCTAGGAGAGTCAAGGGCGGCGCGTACGAGGAGCCAGTATCCGAAAAGGCCAGAGAATAACCTTATCAGTTCGTCAGCATGTCGTTTTCACAGGCATGGCGTTTGACTCACCCCAGAAGAACCACTGGAAGGACCCAACTGCGACACCCACCACTGACAGGAAGATCATTGACAGCGCATTCTTCCGTCTCAGCAGACCAGAGTAGAAGAATCCGACTCCGGGCACCATGAGCCACACAAGGGCCATACAGGCGATGACTGCAGTCGTCAGCGCGGGCCTCTGGAAGCATGCAATACTTACCGAAACCAATGTCACCGAGGTTGTAGAGGTACTCGGTACCATCGTCGTCCGTCCAGACGAGGTCTGAGGAGGTTGTTGTGTAGTTGACATTGACCATGGTGGCAATGTTGATAAGGAGATAAGGGCGGGAGGGGCGCAGGCGGAAGGGGCGAGGCGGTACGGGATGTGTTGTTTACTTGTTTCTGGGAGAGGAAGAGAAGAGGAAGAGAGATGTCAGATGTGATTTATGGGGCCGGAATGCATGCAGAGGGCACCGAAACGACTCAACGGCAACGGGCATGCCCCCTCCTCATTGGCTCCCACTTTCCTTATCTCTCCCCCGTTCTGGGCGCGCTTGCCCAGATCCCTCGGCGCCTGCCGCATCCGGCATATCGCACAGAGCTTACGGCAGCCATCCACCCCGCCGCCAATCGGAGCGCGTACCCTCGAGATAAGAGACGCCCCGCTCGGCACTCTTCGTATTCTGGTATCAGGGTCTCACCCCGCCCAAATCCGACTACCAGCGACGCCCGGGGGATAGACACCGAGAAGCCTAGCGAACCGCAACGTCCTCGCATCTGCCTCGCATAGATATGATCCTCTCCAGTCTCCACTGTATCTTGAATCCCAGCACAGGACGTCATTCCTCACGAGAGGATCGGTAGAGTGATAACCAGACAGGAATCCCGTCTGCGGCCGTGGACCGGCAGACTCTGTACTGACCCGGCTCCCCGTATGCAATCTACATAAGAGGTAGGAGTGAGATTGAAGGTTGCCAGCTTTACCCAAAAGTGGTCATCCCATTGGAACGACCGGTCTCAACTCTCAATCAGCAGCCGAATACCGTGGCTAGTACTGATCGAGAGATATCAGTCGAGAGGTTAGCAAAGCCGGGAGTCGAGGTTGTCGAGAATAGATTGCCATTTGACGAGCCAGAAAGTGCACCTTTCTGCGGTATGTATGCATGGGAGACTGGGAACTGGGCGAGCAAGCACTTTATGTCAGATCGCCCAAACGCAAAACAACTGAAGCTACCGCATGCGTTAGCTGAAAGACATACAGAATCAAAAACAATTGGAAGCACCATCGCGCGTCTCGTGAATTCATCATTCAACACTCAACGTCAAGATGTGCCACAGCCCACACTCTCCCATGAATGGTTCCGCTCAGAAGCTACGCCCTGCATCACGTGTCATGTGCCAATCGATCAGGCCGGGCGAAGGAGGAAGGAGGGTCTCTCGAGGTACAGGACCTGGGCGGGCCGTGCGTCGATTGTTGGTGGTCCTTGCGTGCGCTACCGACGCTGTGACCTCCGAGGCTGAAGCTAAATGTTCAGTGTATCCTGCTGAGGACGGGCCCTCTCGGTGGATGGCCGGTGCTATATAGCTACATCGATGCAGAACACAGGACACAGGACTACTTGCTGCATCTTCAGCATGACATTCGGCTCGGTGGGCAAGGCCGCCACAAAGAAACACCACAAACAGTCCCCCTTCCCAGCCACCCCCTACCTCCATGCTGCCGCCGAAAACAGCGCCGCAGAGGGACGCGACAGACAGAGTGGGTCATCCGTCGCAGACATCGACCAGCATGTCGTAGACATCGCAGCCGACTACATCACCACTCAGCACGCACCTCTCGGTAGTCTCCCAGGGATCAAGGGGGACCTGCCATCACGGGGTGCACTCAGCCGAACTTCCTCTTTTGCATCTCACTCTGCTCCCCCATCTCCTTCTTACGCCCCCTCTGAAGTTTTTTCCGAGGACTCGACCGTCTCCTACCACCCCTACGCCAGCAGAGGGGCCATCCGCACGACAAGGATGAAGGGCCGTACTGCCACGGCCAATACCCGCGCACCCGGTATCATGGAGGAGGAAGAGCAGGACGAAGTGCGAGGGCTGAGGAGTGAAAGCAAGCTCGGTCTAGGCGGCCTTGGACTCAACCAGTCCAGCCTCAGTGTCGGATCGAGGCACAAGGCCGACAAGATGCTGGGACTTGATCCTACTGCCAAACTTGCGAGCATGTACATGGTATCGGGTCTTGGAAAGGTGAGTGATGCAAGTGCACGAATCGCGCTGACGAGATGATAGAACACCGCTGAATGGTCTCTGGCGGACACTGACTCTACCCGCGGTGTCCAACCCCTCGAAGACTCGCTCGGCTTGTTCTGGCGACCCGAGATGCTCGGGAGCAGCTTTAGTGGGGACAAGCAAGACCGAACTGGATCCACGGCTCCCGAAGACGGGACGAGGACTCGCAAAGACTCCAAGTCGAGTACATTCACCAACGGCGGCTTGTCCAAAGACTTGCGAGGTCGCCACGTCGCGGACGCCGGGCCCGGTGGAGCACAAAGACTGGTATCCAAAGCCATCAAATCTGCTCACCCTCGAGATGGTATGTGCCGAAAGCAAATCTTCATCACTGACGTCTATAGTCGAGGTGGTCAACTCTGCGCTGGCGCCCCCTACGACGTGCCACGCGTTCAGCTTTTCCATTCCTCGACAAGACACTCTTGCTGCCGTGGCTCGCGAGAGACTCGGCTCGGCCGTCTCTGGGATGCGCAACGCCTCTGCCGCCGAGCTCGACCGCCCCGCGCCGGAAACCAGCAAGAATATGACCTCTGCCACAGAGCTCACCTATTATGGCGTCACCCTCACCGTCTACTCGCATGCCGACAAGGACAGAGCGCTCCAGCTCAAAGTCATCAAGACCCGCTCCGAGCGACTCAAGCTTGGCACACAAAGCTCACTCAACTCGATGAACCCCGTTTCACCCAACTACCACCCTCCGGGTACTCGCAAAGCCAGCACGACGTCTGACCGAAAGAGGGGCAGGCGACATCTCGGAAATGTGTTGCGCAACCAGAGCGAGGGTGATGTGACGCTTGGAAGCGAGACCGAGACCGGAGTGAGTGATTCAGACATGGAAGGGCCCCTTTCGAGGAGGAGATGGGCAGGTGATAGGCTGAGTGTGGTGGAGAGCGTGCCGGAGGACGTGAGGGCGGTCTTTGACGAGCAGAATGACGTCTTTTGGATGCCCTATGCTATCACCATTGGTAAGCCAGATATATCTGCTTCCAGACTGCTGAATATTGGTAGTGTCGCGTTTCCCCATCTACGACACTCTTCAAGACTATCTCCGTCTCAGTGTAGGTTGTAATATTTCATGTTCCCCACTGACAATACGCAGTGGGCCCGTTTCTCCAAGAATGCTAAAGTCCACATGACTCAAGTCGGTCGGCTTCTCAACACCACTCCTCCCCGACCTGGTGGAGCCATCTCCCTCCCCGTCGGTACATCTGCCGACGACGAGGTCGTCCTCGAAGTCTCCATGCCGGGTGGATTGATCGATTTCGACAAGGGTCTTGTCAAGGTCGACTTTCAGATCTGGCCATTGTTCCAAGCCCTTGATTTGGATCACATCTTGACTTGTGCTGAGGTGAGTGACCGAGTCAAAACTGGTATGATGCTGACTGCAGTAGGTGGCCCTGAGCAACTCGGGAAGGATCATATTCTGCTCCAAGCACCCGGCCATGCTCAACATTGCCGTCAGCTCTCTCAAGTATCTCGTCGAGCTTCGAGGATGGAACGGCATTGCTGTCCCCGTGATCCATGCGGTGAGTACTCCAGGATAAGACCTAAGCTGACGGTAGCGCAGCGAGATGCCACGTTCATTATCGAGGACCCTGGACCTTATATCATCGTAAGCCTTTTGCCGATACCTGACCGTCAACTTACTGTCCTGCAGGGAATGTCGACGGAATGCCGATACTTGCTCGCTCCTCCAGCCCAGGTGGTCATTGTTGACATTGACACAAAGTGAGTATCACCATACCCTCAATTATCTCGACTGATCGGGTCACAGCTCGCTCTCCTGCCGCTCACCCCCTCCAAACGTCATCACGCCCCGCCCTCGACGCGAGAAAGCCAAGCACAAACTCCTTGCCGCCCTCGGCCCTTCCTACCCCACCGACCGCAGCATCCCCATGGAGTTCAAGGTGTCCTATCCAAAGGGCAGTTTCCGCCCGTTCAACAAGATGACGTGGGCCAAGGGTGAAAGGCCGGCTTATCTGGGTGAAAGGTTGAGAGTGCCCGGGTGGTGGAAGGCGGAGAGCGTGGTCGTCGTCTTTGACAAGATTATTGCCGACAAGGTGGGTTGTAAAACGTTTGAGGCAAATCGACTGACGGATGATTAGCACAAGAAGCCGAGTCTGATCCAGAGACTCACGAGGTCGGGTTTCAACAGGGCCCAGGCGCAGTTGACAGTCGGTGAACAGCTTGCCAAGAGCATGATGCGTCGCCGAGCTCGCAAGTTGCATCCATCGCTGTCAAGTCCAAGCTGATCCTGTACAGTCCACTATGTCGAAGCGCGAGATGATCTCGAAGTCAAGGTCGCCAAGATCAACAGGCGATTGCTCAGGCTCATCCAAGAAGGCGAACACGTAGGTACTTGTACACTACTAGAGGAAGACGCTGACATGGTGTCAGTGGAAGAGCCAGTTTGAGACCTTTGAAAAGTATGCCGACAGGCTTACCGTGGAAGCCAACGAGCTCAAGGCCAAGATCGAGCGAGAGAGAAAGGAGGCACGCAGGTTGTCAAGCAGTGAGTCTATCGTGTGCGTTTGATGACGCTAACATCCATTAGTCGCAAACGAGCAGACCAAGGCAAACCGAGACCTTGAAGAAAAGCTTCAAAACACTGAGAGTGCGCGAGCTCAGGCCATGCGACAGCTTTCCGACATGCACTCTTCGTAAGTCTTTCCTTCCAAGACGTACCCATCTGACATTGGGATAGCATCCAAGAGCTTGAACGTGAGCGCGAAGAGATTATGAACTCTATCGAGATGCAGATCGCCGGTGCTCTCAACCAGTACCTCCCTTCTCCATCCCCGTCCATTTCTTCGCGACCGAGTACTCCGGGACACGATGGCGCCTCCGCAGACACTACCTCTGTCACCCGTTCCCTCGGCAGAAAGGCCAGCCGGACTTTCACTGCTGATTCGCAGAGGAGTGGGATGAGCGGTATGACGGGTGTAAGTGTACTGGGACATGCCAAGGGCGAGAGGAAGAAGATCCCGATCGGAAGGGAAGGGAGTGTGGTCGAGATGGTGCAGACTGTAGAGGGCAGGCTTCCCGGTAGCTTGGAAGGCAGTATCGCAGACAGGGTGGCCAATATCCAGATCAAGGTGCGCTTTACCATCATGTGGAAGGACCCAGGCTGACGGCAAAGATCAAGCTCGAGATGGCCCTCAATGTCGTTTCGTCCCAGCGCGCTTCGAGCTCCATGACCAACCGCACGAACGAAGAGTCTGGGGGGGAGGATGACGAGGCGTATGCGGATGCCGATGACGACGCCGAGACGAGCGCCAATACCTCGACCGAAACTGCTGTGGAAGACGACGATGGAAGCTCTCCCGACAAGACCCTCATCGAGCCCCCCGAAGTCGCGAGCGCTCTTGGCCTGTCTGACCTTGGAGGCGAGGCGACTTCAGGGGAAGAGACCGATACCGAGACCGAGAGGGGTAGCCGAAATGGAGCGAGTCGACCTCCTTCTGTCGTCGAAGCAGAGGCCATATTCAAGGGCAATTTCCCGCCTGTTCCCGCTGCTCCAGTCGGCATTGTCGGTCTGGACAGGGGCAAGACCAAGATCCGACCTCGACGTGAGACTGCAAAGAGCAACGTGTCTGCAGAGGACAAGAAGCTTGTCGTAGTCAAGCCCACTGCTGCTGCCGATGACGGGAAAGTTGTCGCAACCACCAAGCCCAAGGCGACCAAAGTCAAGAGCAGGGCTCGTCCTACCAAGACGGTCACCACTTCCGAGGGTATCGTCCTTGCGCGTGTCGGGGTCGAGTCTGACGCAGACTCTGACTCGGGGAGGTCGGACACGACTGCCGGGCGAGGCAAGAAGGGGAGGAAGGGGTTGGGTGTCAACACGAATGGAAAGAGGCTGAGTGCAATGTCCACGGCGAGCACGACGATTACTTTCGGCAAGGCGGTTTAATTTGAGGGCGGTTGATTTGATTTGATGTATCTATAGTCGTTGCATTGGAACGATATCTATATAGCTTGCTGGTCAGCTTTGTGTTTATACTCTTGATGCAAAGGTCCGGCTGTGCAATGGAGATTCAATTTGAACAAGCGAAGATACGTGCGGTGGCGTGGGATCACCTGACGGGTAAACTGCTTGGCAGTGCCGGTCCTACTCATCACAAACCATCTGCCAGCTCACCACTGTACATTCTACATCCATCCTCCTCTCTACCACTCGTATATTTCAGCCACCATGTCGACAGCCAGTCCAGATAGAGCGGCGTACTCGCCCCTGCAGCGCACGCCAAGCAAGGACGCGTCGAGCTCGTTCACGACATTCAAAGACAAGATGGTGCGGGCGCTGAGCCCCAACCGGGCAGAAGCGCTGGGGGAGGAGCGGGGGCGGCGACCGAGCTGGGGAGGTACGTTGATGCCATTTTGGAAGGGGTATTTTGTGCCCATAACCTTGTCATAACCTTGGAGGGGGGCGATAAGAGGGGCCAATCAGCGCGCGCGCCCCTCGCAAAGAGATAACGCTCATCATGCGCTCATCGGGGCATCTTGCGTTATTCCTCCAAATTCAGAACCTCCCTGCCCGCCCATCTCCTCTGTCTTTCTCCTCATCACTGCTGACCCCTACCAGCAAGCATGTCTTTTGCAGAAGAACGAGGCAGGCAGCCAGGCCACATCGTGCGTCCACAAACCCCTCCCTTATCTCGGCTAATACTCCTTGTTTGGTGCAGGTCTCGACGGGACGGGGTGGCGCTGGTAATCTCGTCGCACATGCCGTACCCGACGACATTGAACCCGGGGCAGAGCGTGGCCGTGAACTCTCGCCCCACCCCAACGGAGAACTTGTACGCCGCCTGCCGCCGTCTTTTCTTCGCCACCGCTGACAGTATTCACAGGTGCATTCCGGCCGAGGCGGAGCCGGCAACATCCGACCCTCCTCCCACTCCCGTACCCGTGCAGAGATGAAGCAAGATGCCAAGGAGGAGGTGCTGCAGGAAAAGCTCATTGCTGAATCTCGTGGCCGTCAAGCCGACAGTGCATTCTCGACCGGACGGGGTGGTGTCGGAAACATCTCTCGAAGCAGGAGTAGATCCCAGGCGAGGACGCCCAAGGACAGCGTGGAGAAGAGGAGGGAGGGGAGTGCACTCGGGCTGGGGAGGAGCAGGACGAGGGAGCCGCCCCATAACAGCGGCAGGGGTGGATTCGGCAACATTACAGAGGAGCGACCTTCTGGAGATTCCGACAAGGTATGCCTGCCAGATCTCAAGCGTTACACATACTCACCAGTCTACAGGAGTCTAGAGAAGACGCGTACGAGGCCAACGTGCTCGCCAAGCATCGCACCAACGACAGCACCCACCCCCATGCGCGTGCCACTGGCAAGGGCGGTGCAGGCAACATCTACCAGCCCGGGCCAAACGAAGAACCAGATCTCAATGGATTGAGTCTGGAGGAGAAGCAGGAGCGGGAGGCACACAAGAAGCTACAGGCCGAAGAGAATCGCCATTGGATACCTGCAGGTCGAGGGTGAGTTGACCTCTTTTGAATGATCTACCGCTGACGTTGTCACAGAGGCGCTGGCAATATGCATCGTGCGTCCGAGCATTCGCCTGCGGGAGAGGAGCGAGGCAGAGGTGCAAATAAGGGCGGGGGAGTACTTGGAAACGTCTTGCGCAGTTTCAGTCGGGCTGCAGGCAGGGAGAAGAGTTCTGATGGCGCTCGAGACTAGTCTATGCGTTTTCTTCTGTTCGTATGGGAATCTGGGGTTCAGGGCTTAAGCTTTTGTATACTTGGGTATGAAAGAACATATCGGTATCTCGGCTAGGAATCCGCAAAGTGGATCCATCACAATACCCATACACAAGGAAAAATAAATGAAACGCCCGAAATGACAGTTTGAAGATCACGACTCGACCCCATCTAAAGAATGACACACTTTTGCTTCTTCTTCTTTGTTTGTCCCCCAACAGGAGCCATCACACCTCCCTGCTTGACCACCTTGATCTTCTTTACCAAACACTTGAACGCCGCCTCTACATTGCTGTTGGTCTTGGCACTTGCTTCGAAAAAGTCGCACCCCAGACCACGGGCAAGCATGGCCCCTTCGTCCGTCGACACTTCTCTCGAATGAAACATGTCCTTCTTGTTGCCCACAATCACGATCGGCACGCGACTTGCGATACCTCCGGCGGCTGATGGGCCCGTAGGCGATGTGGGGGAGAAATGTGTTTGTTGATGGCCGTAAGGCGATCCGCCATAAGGAGAGTTGTACGGAAGAGATCCTTCGTCCTTGACACGAAGGACGCGCTCGACTATACGCTCGATGCGTTCAAAGGTGGGACGGGAGGTTATAGAATAGACGATGAGGAATCCCTCGCCGTCTCGGATCCATTGATCTCGGAGAGCCGTGTACTCTTCTACATAGGGGGCTCAGTCGTGGTCGTGCCGACTAGCAACAAAAGCGAGACGTACCTTGACCCGCAGTATCGAGGACCTCCAGCAGACACGCTTGTTCGTCCACGACCCATTGTTTCCGGTAGCAATCTTCTATCGTGGGGTCATACGTTTCCACGAACGATGACATGGTGAACTGTTGATGCCCGCGGGGGGTCAGTAGAGGAAAAAAAAGGGAGAGCAGCCCATCACGCACTTGTACGGTTATAGCCGTCTTTCCTACACCACCGTCACCGAGGACGGTGATCTTGAAGAGCATGCGAGGTGGGGCCTGGGATACTGTCAGCAAAGGCAGAAGTTGGTCATGAAGGGACGCACCATGGTGAACTATTTGATTGCCTATCTGCACAATACGTCGAAACGATACAGCTCTCGGTCACAAAGTATGGCGTGTTATCTTGGCTTGCTGGAAAGGAGGATGTTCTCTCTCGAATCACCTCGTCGTTACGGAGATGAGCGGGTTTAGACGACTAAGATGGCTCTGCAGGTACCTGGATTCCTCTATATGTGCTTTGGCTGTCGTGTCTTGACTGGGAGCACAAGGTGGTGAGTCGCCCTGATGAA